CCTTTTTAGTTTCATGTGTATATATCCTTGTCTTTTATGCATGTCGTTTAAGCTTTGTAATCCCCTGATCCAGGGCTCTTAGTGTTAATCACAGCATCCCCCCCCGCACGTTATGTGAGATCAGCCCCGCCTACCAGTTTTGCCCAAATAAGCCCACACTAAGATGGTTGCCGGATCAACCTCATGAAGGAGCAAGCATGCTCCGAACGCGCACCATCTTGGAAACCCAGTCCATGCAGTGAGGTCATCCCTGCGCCCCTCTGCTACTCCCTAAACCCTGGACGCCACCGGAGTGGTGGGAAAACACCCAGAGCGGGGCCAAAGGACCTGATGCTCCCATTGGACCTCCATCACTTGACAAGCCTACCTGTTACCTACCTATGTGAGTGCAATTTTCCCATTAAATCTGCCTAATTTTAACCTTCTACACTTAGAGTGGCGCTGCTGTCTCTCGTCTCTACCTGCATTAGGAGTATCTACAAGCTCTTACAGCCGGCTGCCTCCTCGGACAAGTCCATACTACTACAAGCCCCCCACTACAGATGGACTTGGACACCTCCTCCATATGGACCTTCTACTAACCACCATTGCTGATGGCCCATCCCCAAATGCACACAGGGTAGATGCGTCTTAGTGCTCCCTCTCCCCACTCACCATTGAAGATTTAATGAATGGTTCAGCGGAAGACAGATTACCGGAATTGCAAACTCCCCCTCCCCAGATACATTTCATTTGCAAGGAGCATATTCATAGAGTAGGAAGTTACCTGGTGAGGAACTTCTATTATATATACAGATCAATACAAAACAGCTATAATCAGTCAACTGGGTTTCTGGATTTGGAACACGGCTAAAATAACTGAGTGAGTCTCTGACAAACTACGTGTCCAAAAAGCTCACAGAGGCACAGAATAAAACCTTTGGAATCATGTTGTGGAACGTAACATAACCTCAAAAACGTAACATAATACATTACAACAGTGCAATACAGATTGCCTACTGATGTAACATGTCTAAATATTTTTGGCTTTACTATCTAAACCTACAGTGAGAAGCATCCTTTGTACACATGCCTAAAAGCCATTAAAAGCAATTGCAAATTACCTGTGCCAAAACTTATTAAAGTAGATTAAAAAAACAACAGTGGCAAGAGTATCAAATGGCTTTTTGGCACTCCGAGTACTTTGTATCATGATAAAATGTAAGAAAAGTGTAATTTGTTATAAAATACTCAGCAGGAACCATTTCCATATAAGAAGTCAGTATTGCGTTTCCATGGCATTGGTAATCCAACAAGAATGGTCGGGGGGCGGAGGACAGGGGGGAAACGTGTGCCGTTATAGACAACAAACGTCTGTGTTGTAGCTGGAGATCCACGATTAAATATCACACAGATTGGAGACAGGACTACAGGTAATAAAAGCCGGGTCTCTGAAGATTTACACTTTCCAGGGTTTCTGTAACATTGACACTTTTAACTGCTGTGTTTTCTGTTTTTTTTCCCGTCTCATATTCTTATATACATGAGCCTGTTGTTTTAAAATACGGACTGTAAGCAATTAAATGTATTTAACCCCTTGGCCTCTTGGTGCTTTAAGGGTTCCAGAAGCCAGGAGGCGGGGCGGGGTTTTAGGGTCATGTGACCGCCATGATTCGCTGTCACGGTGGTCACATGATCGGCAAAGGTCCCAATCGAAAGAGGAGATTGTGACCTTTCCGTGAGTACCGAACGTGTATGCTGGGAGCGCGCAGGGGAAAATGTCACCAGCACACCAAGGATCACCAATACGGGTCCAAACGTTTTAATTAATGATCACATAGTTACAGCAAGGCAACGGTTCGGAGTCTTGTAGGACCCCTTCATCAGGCATGTGACCTGATGAAGGGGTCCTGTGAGACTCTGAAACATTGCCTTGCTGTAACTCAGTGGTGTATTTAGGTTTTGTGCTGCCCTAGGCAACAACATAAATTGGCGCACCCCCCACCTTGCAGAAAGGGCCTGAAATTGACCAAGAGCACCCCTTCCCTCCACCCGAACCTTCCACTACCACTGCCCCCATACACCAGCCACCATCCTCCATGGCGAGAGAAAGACACTCACCTTCACAGCTCTGGGCATCCCCAGGAACGAGAGTTGGGCTGTGCATACACCGTCATGAAACCCGCAGCCTCTCTTGGAACCCCCCAGGTCCCCATGCCACTTGTGTACCTTCTGCCATCCCTTCTTCCAAGGGGCAGTGCTGCCCCCCCCTGAAAAATGTCGCCCTAGCCAAATGCCTTGTGGTAAATACACCCCTGCTGTAACTATCTGATCGTTCATTAAAACTTTTGGACCCATATTGGTGATCCTCGGTGTGCTGGCGACATTCTCCCCTACTGATTCTGTTCGGTTCCAGCCGACGGTCGCTGCAGCACCCACTTATACACACCACCATTTTTAATGTGTGCGTTTGGATTGTACACTTGCATTCTGGGAGCGCGCAGGGCGCGCGCTCTCTCAGCACATATGTTTTTTTTTAATAGAACGCAAATGTGCTGCCGCTCAGCATCTAGGCCCAGACGCCGGGAGGCTGCACATTTGCGTTCGGCCAGCACCAAGAGGTTAAGGTGTAACTCTGCCTACGGCTTTGATCCGTCAGTATAGTGCTGAGAGATCTCATTCTTCAGAACTCTACACCTCCAGGAGTGTCGGATGCCTGTGTCCCCCCTGTCTCATGCTGTGGTTCGATCTTCTGACCTCTACACCACCACAGTAAGACCTAGTTCACATTGGCATTGAAAGCAGGCGTTTGAGGGGGGCATTTTTAACGCTCCTCAAACACCTTTGCAAATGATACTATGGGCAGCACACAGTGAAACACTAACACTAACAATTACCTCTAACCCTAACTTTATCTCTATCCCTAACATTTAAAACTAACCCTCACCCTTAACCCCTTCATGTCTGAGGGTAAAACAAATCTAAATGCCTAAGCAAAATTTTGCAATGTTGACATGTCTTAGTAAATCCGTCCATATCATTGCAACTACTTTGTACATCCAGGTGAATTATATCATGTTTTTTTTTTCAGGACAAATTGTACTTTCATTTGGTGGTAAATGGTAATGGATGTCTCCTGATTTTTTTTTTATTATCAAAGGAAAACTGGCCCAAAATAGTAACAAAAAAAATATTTTTTTTTATTTAGCTGTGTGTTTCTTGTTACTACCATAACCTACCACCAAAAAACAACCCAAAATAAATTCTCCAGCTCTTGACGATCATAGCGATACCATATAGGTGTATGCTATTTGTTGTTGGTACCCGGAGTACAGCCCAGAAACAATAGAGCGCTTTTTGTTTTTTTCTTTTTTTTACCTAAAACACACTGACATTGACACTAACCGACACCAAATTATTTTTAACCCTGACCTTTGACCCTGACCTTTTGACCCTGACCTTGACCCAAACACTAACCCTGGCACTGAACTAGGTCAAACCGTGATCTAGGTATTTTTTTATTATTTTTTATTTTATATTTTAATATTTATTTATTTATCTTTTTTTTTTTTAACAAACATTTTTTTCCCCCCCTCTATGCCAGGAGTTAGAGAGATACAATGTATCTCTCTTCTCCATTCATAGAGAGAGAAAAAACAAGGGGGTCGAGCTGTACAGTGAGTGATCACTGTGATAGCCAATCAGAGGCTATCACAGCAATCATGTGACCCGGAATCGGGAGTTCTGATCGTTAAAATGGGACCCGGTGCTTTCAGTGACACTGCGGTCTTTGTGTTGGGAGTGCGCCCTGTGGTGCGCTCCCAGCACAAAGACAGGTACGCAAATATGAGGCCCCACGGAACATTTTTTTTCCCCTCTATGCCAGGAGTTAGAGAGATACAATGCATCTCTCTCCTCCATTCACAGAGAGAGAAAAAAAAAGGGGGCTGAGCTGTACAGTGACTGATCACTGTGATAGCCAATCAGAGGCTATCACAGAGATCATGTGACTCAGAATTGGGAGTCCCGGGTCCCGATCGTTAAAATGGGACCCAGTGCTCTTAATGACACCACAGTTTTTGTGCTGGGAGCGGCCTGTACTGTGACTGATCACTGTGATAGCCAATCAGAGGCTATCACAGCGATCATGTGACCTGGAATCGGGAGTCCCGGGTCCTGATCTTTAAAATGGGACCCGGTGCTTTCAGTGACACCGAGGCCTTTGTGCTGGGAGCGTGCAGTGCGGCACGCTCCCAGCACAAAGACAGGTACGCATATATGCGGCCCCACGGAAAAGAGCCCAGTTCTGAGAGGCCGCATATTTGTGTGACGTCGGCATTAAGGGGTTAACCCTAACCCTAGCTCTTAACCTTAGCCCTGAACTCTAACATGCAACTTTGGTCACATAAATGTTCCTGCACTACTTTGATGCGACTGTTATCTTACTTTGATGCTACTTAAGTGCCAGACAGTGTAAAGTTGCATCAAAGTCGCACTAAATGAACAGAACTGTAATACTTGGCTATTAGCAAAATAAAAAAAAAATGTTAAAAAATGCAAAACACATCTTCAAATGGGCTGGAAAAACGCATCAACCACAAGCAGCATAGATGTGAACCTAGCCTTATGGAGGATGCAGCTCTTGAAAGAAAAGGAGGTAGCAGACATGGGCTGCCAAATAGGTAAGTATATGTAATGTTCTATTGCAGGGACCTTTCATCTGGAATTTGTATTTTTAACCTGACAGGGTTGGCTTAGATGCAGAATTGTTTTGATTATCCACTCGAGCAGTTATTCTTAACCTTTTTGAAGGCACAGACCCCTATAAGAACCTTATGAATGCTATGTACCTCCTCCACAGAAATATTCACATAAAAACAATTTTGCATGCAATGAATCCTAGACTCCCATCTGTCATTCCAGCCCCAGATCCAATCATTGACAAAATCATGTAGACTTCCCCTCCGCAACATCTCCAAGACACGCCCGTTCCTAACCCCGGAAACCACTAAGCTACTTATTCCCTCCCTTGTTATCTCTCGCCTTGACTATTGTAACTCCCTCCTCATCGGCCAACCTCATCGCAGGCTATCCCCTCTTCAGTCTATCATGAATGCTGCTGCCAGACTCATCCACCTTACTAACCGTTCCATATCTGCCACCCCTCTCTGAAGATCCCTCCACTGGCCTCCACTCAGTGTCCTCCACCCCTCTCTGCCAATCCCTCCACTGGCCTCCACTCAGTGTCCTCCACCCCTCTCTGCCAATCCCTCCACTGTCCTCCATTCAGTGTCCTCCACCTCTCTCTGCCAATCCCTCCACTGGCCTCCACTCAGTGTCCTCCACCCCTCTCTGCCAATCCCTCCACTGTCCTCCATCCCTCTCTACCAATCCCTCCACTGTCCTCCACTCAGTGTCCTCCACCCCTCTCTGCCAATCCCTCCACTGGCCTCCACTCAGTGTCCTCCACCCCTCTCTGCCAATCCCTCCACTGGCCTCCACTCAGTGTCCTCCACCCCTCTCTGCCAATCCCTCCACTGTCCTCCATTCAGTGTCCTCCACCCCTCTCTGCCAATCCCTCCACTGGCCCCCATTCAGTGTCCTCCACCTCTCTCTGCCAATCCCTCCACTGACCTCCATTCAGTGTCCTCCACCCCTCTCTGCCAATCCCTCCACTGGCTTCCAGTTGCCCAACGAATAAAATTCAAAACTCTGACAATGACATATGAAGCCTTCCACAACACTGCCCCAATTTACATAACCGATCGTGTCTCCAAACCCTCCTCTCCGCTCCTCGCCAGACCTCCTACTCTCTAGCCCCCTTATCTCCTTCTCCCATGCTCGTCTCCAAGAATGCCCTCCCATCTCATCAGAGCCCCCCTTCACATTAGAGGTCTCCCCCATCATATTACAGCCCCCCTTCACATCAGAGGTCTTCCCCATCACATCAGAACCCTCTTCACATCAGATGTATCCCCTTTATGTCAGAGTTACCCATCACATCAACATTCTCCCAATACATCCCATCTTTTAGCCAGAATGGCCCTATAAATGACATGACAGGGTCTACCCATCACACTAGAGCCCTTCATCACCACAGAGTCCTCTCATCCCTCTCTGATCCAGGGCAAGTCGGGTCTCCTAAAAGGCACCCCAGGGTGCCGCGGCACACTGGTAGAGAAACACTACTACAGGATATTGCATTTGCCCATCAGCACTGCCGTATTTATCGGCATAATCTGTTCCAGGCAAGCTTAGATTCTCTGTTTATACGCCATAATACGTTGTAACAGACTAAAGTGTAAAGAGATACAAATAAAAATGTCACATTTATGGCAAGATGTAAGAACACAAATCGCAGTGGACACTGTAAAGTGGCATATTAATAGCCGAACAGAACAGCAGACGGGAAATTCCAAATCTCCTCGCTGGGAATGTAAAAAGGGTTTCAGCGACTGCAGTTAAACAGAAAAAAAATTGTTTTTCTGCGCAGATCTTTTGTCATATATTGTATTTCATGGGCAACATTGCTTAATAGGATATTGTGTTAACCCCTTCAGTCTTTGTGCAGCAAAGAAAACAGGCACTGCTCGAGGTGTGTAATTATGATTGGACGGATGCAGTGGTACTGGATCACCCTTTATTACGGCTCTATGTCCTGTACACAAGGGGTATTGGGACCTAAATTACATTTTCATTTTAATAAACTCTGTGTTTTATTGCTTAAAGCGGAGCTAAACCCTCTTATCCTTTATAGCCAAAGAAACTGCTATCTTAGCCTCTGTTTGACCTGCATGGCATGATGTGCTCATTTATGACACCAACCATTTGATGGCATGAGAGTTCGGTTTGAGAGCAGTGGCGTCCCGAGGCAGGTGCGGGGGGTGCGGTCTGCACCGGGTGACACCGACCCCATGGGGTGACACCGGACCCGCTCCACAAAAAGGTAAGTTGTAAAGCAAGCCGATGATCGCCGCAGGATGGATCTGAACCATCCTGCAGGGATTGTCGGCTTTCTTTACAACTTACCTTTTCTTGGAGCGGGTCCGGTGTCATCCTGTATAGGTTGCATGCCGATGATCCCAGCATGCAACCTATATGGGGTGACACCGGACTGGGGGCGGGCTGACAACTCATGGGGCCCCCAGGCAATAGGGGATCATGCGGCCCCTGTGTCCTCGCCCAAACTCAAAAAAGCCTATGAAAAAGGTACCAGGGGCATCTCATGGGGTCCCCTACTGACCCCGGGCCCTCGGGCAGTGCCCGAATTTCCAAATTGTCAGTCCGCCCCTGCATGTGATTGACCGATGAACAATTTGTGTTACCAAGCAATTGAACAGATGGACCTAATAAAGTGGCTGGTGAGTGTATACTGGCTTGTCAAAATAACAAATGTAATAGTATAGAGCAGTGATTTCACTCAAACCACACCCAAAAAAAGCCTATGAAAGATACCAGGGGCATATCATGGGGCCCCTTACTGACCCCGGGCCCTCGTGCAGTGCCCAAGTTTCTGAATGGTCAGTCCGCCCCTGCACCAGACACGCTCCAAGAAAAGGTATGTTGTAAAGCAAGCCGACGATCCCCACAGGATGCATCGGATCTGCGGATTGAGCATAATGGATCGGAATCTGATCCATTATGCCCAATCCGCAGATCCGATCCATTCTGCAGGGATCGTCGGAGGGGGTGTCACCAAGTGTTACCGCACCGGGTGACACCTACCCTAGGGACACCTCTGGTTGAGAGCACAAGCAATTGTGACAGTTATCATTCACAGCATACCTTCAATGTAACTGTTTTGGGAAACAGGTAAAGTATAACTATTTTTAGTTTTGGATAGAATGGAGAGGGATTAGACCCCTGTCAGGCATTTATTGCTGTCTGTGTCCCTGTTAGGGAGATTCACCCTCTTTATTTGTCCTGTTTACCATTATCATTGAAAGTGAAAGTAAAAGAAAATCCCAAATTTTGGGTTGTCCCTAGAAAAGTAATGGGGAAATCTTCCAATGGGGACACTAGTTCTGGTGACCTGGGGGTCCCCAAGAAATTCCCTCAATTTGCAAGGATTTCCACACTTCCTGTTTTGGCTATGGGACAGGAAGTGAAAGGAAAATCTCTGCAATGGGACACAGATGGAGGAAAAAAATCTGACTGGGGTTCTAACCCTCCCTTTATCCAAAATGAAAAAAATAAGTTTTGCCTACTTTAAATCAAAGAGTTTAGCTCTGCGTTAGATACCACTAAAACATACCTCTCCAAAAATATATTATGAGGGTTATTTCCAACCTAATGGTGGTGTCAAGTACTGCCACCTCCTCTACCTACTGATCAGTCCATGGATATTGCCAACTCATTGCTCTCCGCATTACTTTTCCAGTCTATAGTGAAATAACACCCTTCACCTTCCTACCCACTTTCAGAAAATTTTGCTAAAAACTTTCAAGGCAGCGGATCATCTGACTCAATGCCTGGGCAATGGTCTGGGATCTCAACTGAAGGGCCTAGTAGACTGACATTCTGGCAAAGACAGTAGTCAGTTGGACTCTTGGTCTCCCCTTCAACAGTAGTTGGTCTCCTGGAGCGTAGTTGGGTACAGGGCTGGACTGACCATTTGGAAACACGGGCACTGCCCATGGGCCCGGGGTCAGTAGGGGGCCCCATAAGATGCCCCTGGTACCTTTTTCATAGGCTTTTTTGAGTTTGGGCAAGGACACAGGGGCCCTATGATCCCCTATTGCCCGGGGGTCCCATGAGTTGTCAGTCCGCTCCTGGTTGGGTATCAACTGGCTGGCCGGGGTTTGGGTTTCTTCAGTGCATCAGTGCATCTTCTTATTGGGTCTCTCTGAGGGGCCTGCTCAAAATTAATTAGTGGACCACTGATTAAAGTGCATATACTGTATATGGTGTCCCAGTAAATTTTTTTCTTGCTGCTATATGTTAAACAACCAAGTTAGGTTGAGACAAATCAAGGAACAAGAGGCGCAGAGAGTTCTTAGAGGAAGAATACATGGGCTGTACCAATTGTGATTGACATCATGTAAACTGTATTGGTACATTGATATAGGTAATAAATGACCAGGTAATATGCAGAAGAGTGATATAGAGATCATATAATCTCTAAATCAATGGTGGTAAATCATGCAGCTTGAGGATGGCCATATCGCCACAGATTAGACATCTCACAGTGAGAGCTATGACAATGTGGAATAGACTCCCTCAAGAGTTGGTTGTGGCCAGCTCAGTGGATTGCTGTAGGAAAGTCCTGGATTCTTTCTTGGATACACAGAATATAACTGGATATAACATTTATAGGGAAAGTTGATCCAGGGAATATCCGATTGCCTCTCGGGGGATCAGGAAGGAATTTTTTTCCCAGCAGAAGCAAATTGGATCGTGCTTTGCTGGGTTTTTTTTTTGCCTTCCTCTGGATCAACTGTGGGTGTAGGATTGTAACTTTTTTTTCTATGGTTGAACTGGATGGACTTTTGTCTTTTTTCAGCCAGACTAACTATGTAACTATGTGACTATGTAGACATGTGCAGAACGAAAAGATTAGTTTAGTTTCAGTTCGGTAAGTTACTAATATCACTTTGTTGAATTCGTAAAGAAATTTGCTCCATTTTGTTTATTCGTTTTTGACCGGATTCAAATTTTTTTACAATGGACCCTGTTGCCAGGCTTTTCAGTATGGCAAAAATCATTATATTATACACACAAATCGTATCTCATGCATGTTATTTTTCTGTAAAATCCTCCCTTGTGTAGCCATCCGGTAACCCAGAGACTGCTGCTGGGTGCCGCCATCTTGGATGTGGTGTTAGAAGCCCCAGCAGGCTTAAAGCTGTCACTCAAGCGATGCTCCATAGTGTTACCCTTTGCTCCTTCCCCACCTGCTACATAAAAAGATTATCTAGGGTGGCAAGTGGAGGGGTAGAGGACCTGAGCCAGCAGAAACAGTCATTAAACCTCCTCATTGGCCAACCTCATCGCAGGCTATCCCCTCTTCAGTCTATCATGAATGCTGCTGCCAGACTCATCCACCTTACTAACCGTTCTGTATCTGCTACCCCTCTCTGCCAATCCCTCCACTGGCCTCCACTCAGTGTCCTCCACCCCTCTCTGCCAATCCCTCCACTGGCCTCCATTCAGTGTCCTCCACCCCTCTCTGCCAATCCCTCCACTGGCCTCCATTCAGTGTCCTCCATCCCTCTCTGCCAATCCCTCCACTGGCCTCCACTCAGTGTCCTCCACCCCTCTCTGCCAATCCCTCCACTGGCCTCCATTCAGTGTCCTCCATCCCTCTCTGCCAATCCCTTCACTGGCTTCCACTCAGTGTCCTCCACTCCTCTCTGCCAATCCCTCCACTGGCCTCCATTCAGTGTCCTCCATCCCTCTCTGCCAATCCCTCCTCTGGCCTCCACTCAGTGTCCTCCACCCCTCTCTGACAATCCCTCCACTGGCTTCCCATTGCCCAA